GACCTATGCAACAAGAGTTGTAGCTTTTTGGTCTGAGAAGGTCAGCAATTCTTTTCTGAAATATAAAAAGAACTCTCAGAACTCATATCAGATGAAGTAAAGAAGCAACTACAGAAACATAGGCAGGAAACCCAATCTGAAAAAAAACACTGCAGTAAAAGAATTTCTAACTGCTTCAAAAGAAGATATTGATAAAAAAAATAGAGGAGATTAGAAAAATGACGGATTCCCTGAATGAGCAATTCAGGAAAGAAATAGATCGCATGAAGCAGAGTCAAAGAGATATAGAGGAAATGAAACTCTCAATCACAAGCTTGCAAAACCGTTTAAATGAATGTGAAGACAGAGTTTCAGATCTTGAAGATGCTGGTATAGCTAGTGAAAAGGTAAGAAAGGATCTCTTAAAAACAACGAGGATGCAGGAAAGAATAATTCATCACCTGCAAGATGATGCAAAGATGAACAATGTGAGAATAACAGGCATCAATGAGAAAGAAGGAGTCAACACAAATGACATCAAAAAATAATTTCTTATTATTGAATTTTATCACCTTGTTTTTAATGTTTCTTTGTTACTTTTTCCTTTCTTCTATAGGTAACCATTAGTTTCTTTTAAACTTTCTAGGATTTTCTTTTAATTTTAAAGCACCTTTTTCTATATCACTTGTCTGTTACATACATTTAAGCACAACTTTGTTTTATTAGCCCCATGTTTGTGAACATTTGGGTTCTTTTTATTTTTATAAAGAATTCTATCATAGCTATTTTTCTACATAATTTTTAAAAATATATTTGGTGCAGGATCTGACTATGCAGCTCAGACTCATAGTAATCCTCCTGTTTTCAGCCTGCCCAGCACTGGGATTGCAGGTGTGCACTACCACACCTGGTCTTGGTGGCTGGTTCAGCACACCAGGGGGTGGGGTTTGCACAGCATTTGGTATGGGGAATCAAATCCCGGCCCTTCACTTGTCTAAGCAGGCACTTAGTCCCCTGAGCTATCTGGCTGGCCCTGTATATACATTTTTTACTGTCCTCTCTATTTTTCTATTTATTTTATTTCATTTTATTTTGTTTTATTTTGTTTTCTGTATTTTAGGGAAGAGTCTACAGGATGTTGAGGGGTATCACTACTAGATTGGACTTGTAGTGATCCACCTGTTTGCAGACTCCCATGAGCTGGGATTACAGGTGCAAGCTCCCACGCCCAATCTCAACTGCCTTCTTAGTGCACCCTGGGAGTGGGGCTGGCACAGCAGGCCTGGGATCAAACTCCAGCCCCTGTGTCTACTTGCAGGTGCTTTAATCTGCTGAGCTATTTGATCAGCCTCTTGTCCTCTCTATTTAGCAAAAGTTCTAGCAGTAACATCTCTAACTTGGATATGACTATTCTAGGTTAGACCTGTAAGTATTTGACTAGATTTGCTATTGTGAAGCATTTCCTACTGTGCCATTTAGTTCTAGCTATCTACACTGACAATCAAACATGCATATGAAAGTTATAGTACAGCCCATTTCTGTAACATTTCTTTCTTCAGTGAATTTCATCAAGCTAAATGGTAATGAAACTTTATATGAATTTCAAATCATTCAAATCAATACTATAAAGCAGTACCTTTAAAATATAAACCCATAAAATCTCTGCATTATACTTTGGCATTTCCAGAATGATGTGAAAGTTTTATATCTCATTTCCTTGTTCTTTCCAGCATCCAAGTACAAAGTATTTATGTGGCAAAGGTCATGATGTTCTCATGAATTATGACCGTATTCTGCTTCCTATGTTAGAATTCAACTCAGATCTGCCTTTTTCAATTCCCATTTTCTTTTTTGTCTCACGATTTCTTTCCAATAAAATTTATTTATTTTATATTGCTTCCCTCTGAATTTTCCTAAATAAGACATAAATAAACTGATAAGAACCCCCCCAAAAAAAGAAATTGCTGAAAGAAAATAACTACCTAGTGAGAATCTATATCTAATGAAAATATCCTTCAGGAGTGAAGGTAAAATAAAGGCATTCTTAGATGAATTTTAAAAAGCTAGAAAATTCTTTAACAGCTCTAAAAGAAACACTAAAGGAACCTTATCAGGCTGAACATAAATGACAGCAGAGAGAATCTTGGAACTTCAGGAATGAAGAAAGAGAAATAGAGATACTGATATCTGACTAAAATGAATATTTTCCTCCTCTTAAGTTCTTTAAAATATATATGGTTGTTGGAAACAAATGCCCTATAACTGTCTGGTGGAGTACTTAAATAAATTTATTTTTTATTAATTTTATTGAGAAACAAATAGCAATGAGACAGTTTCAAAACAGGTTAGTAAGACAGTTTCAATAATTAATACATTGCATATTGTTGTCTTCATAGTAGTTATTCATAGTACAAGTTGCAGACATGATATCCTATCCAAACACTATTAGTACAAATTTTTCTTATCATTGAATTAAGAGACAGTAACTTCATATCTATCCTGTTTTGTATATGCAGATACAAAATAGTCCTTCATTTGTATCCCTGCTTTTGTTTATTTTTGTCAAAGATGGGTATTCCATTGCCACTTCAAGATTGTAGGTGTGTGAATTCAGCAAAATAATCCAATATAGGCTAGTAGTCCATAATACTAGTGGGTTATCGGTGGGACGGGCAATGTCAGAAGTTGTTGACTTGAACCTTTTACAGCTCAGCATATTAATATGGCTTTACTTTTTATATTTTGTTTTTATACTTTTCTGCTGGGTGGTTAAGACCAAGCTACAAGGACAACCAACATTTTGGCCCTAGCCTTTCAAGGTCAGTGAAGACTCAGGACATAAGAAAACCTGTACTGTAACATCCTGTAACTCAGTGATGTCCCAAATTTTCTGAACAAGGAGATTATGGGGCCACAGAGCAAAGTGATTGATGATGTAGAGTGTGCCTGAGGGGAGTCACATGGAGAGAAAACATTCTCTCAGGCTTTCACAGACAGCAAATTGGTCAAGCAATGGCCATGACTCATCCACATGGCTGATACTGAGACAGGATGTACAAACTGCTGTACAGGGTTTCAGGATAAATCCTGAGGGGATTTGACTGACCTTGTCATATACAAAAGCTACATTTCTTGTTAATAAATTTAGATATACCTATGTAAAGGTCAAAGGACCAGTAGGAGAGTATGAAGTTGTTACGAAGCTTCACTTTTTGAACATTTCTTTGTAGTAAAATTCTACTTAATTTAGAAAAATGCACATACTCATGTAACTAACACAACAATTGAGAACTAAGCTCTTCTAAAAATATGAATATAATCTTTGGTATATTCTGAGACCCCTTTTCTTTCTCCACTCCTTCCTCTAAGTAAACCAACATATAGTACTCTGTCACTGTAGAATAATTTGCATTTTGTAGATTTTACATGAGTGAAAAAATAGCATGTACTCTATTTTTGTCTAGCTTCTTTCACTTAGCATAATTATCTTGAGATTCATTCACATTGTATCAAAGGCTTATGTGCTATGAAATAGTGCATTGGGTCCCTTTGGGGAAAACCAAATCTATTTATACATTATAATGCATACTTGAAGCAAAAATTAGAAGTAAAGATTCTGAGTTAAAATATGTGGTTTTGGAGCCAGCAAGATAGCTCAGTGGACTAAGTGCCTGCTAAGGCAAGTGCAGGGGCCAGGGTTCAGTCCCCAGCACCACATGCCATGCTGGCCCTGTGCCAGTTCATGCAGAGCTGGCCACCAAGTCCGGGCATGGTGGCGCATGCCTGTAATCTTAGCAATGGGGAGGTTGAATGTAGGAGGTTCACTATGAGTCTGGGCTATGTAGTGAGACCTTATCCTGAATTAATTTTTTAAAATGTGGTGTTTGCAACCCTTCTAAAATGGGCTCTAGGTTAAAGCTATGTTAGCCAGACCCTTCAATGTTTGCACACCTCTTGGTACAGATCTGTGGGTATACAGCTGATAATACAGATGGAGATGAGGCTTCACTCCTTCCTGGAGTGCAGTATTTTTTTTTTCCATGGAAAAAGTCCAGATTCGAGAGTTAAAAGTACGTCATCCTTAAGCTGTCACTTAATGGCTGAGCAACTATGAGAAAGTTATTTCAACTTTTCTTCCTTAACTTCATTAGCTTTAAAAACTAGAGATAATGATAACACTTTATATATTTGTTATGGGCATTAAAATTAGATCACATATATATAAAACATTGAACATGGAGTCAGAGATGTGGCAAATAATAAGAAGTGTGATTTCCTTTTGTAATTTGTGGAAAGATTTTCAACCTTAAAAAAAGAACTGGCTGTAACTTTGAGCTTAATTGTAATATCATAGTGCCATCTGGTGACAACATAAAATGATTACATTATCTGTATGGGCTACTTCATTTCTAACAAATATACACAGTATGTAAGTTCCTATTACACATTGGGCTAATGATGCAGGGACAGAGAACAAGTGTTGTGTTTAAGAACTGCTTTGTTGATCTCTGTCCCTTGGCTAGGCACCCTTTCATGTCATGAAGTAAGGTTTGAGGAGGAATGAGAGTTACTTTCTCCATTGCCTACCCTAGGATGGGCAGATGGCAGATTGTGTGTAAAGAAATAAATGAAGGAAAAGTGGGGAGAGTGCAGTTGGGGTTTTCTCTTGCTCAGAATTTTTCCCTTGAAAGATCAGAACTTTGACCTAGAGTCCACTCCAGGGGGGTTTCAAAGTAGAATAACCTCACATATCATCCAGTTGTACCTGAACGTCTAATGAAAGGCAACCCCTCTCAGTTCTTTCAGCCACCTAACCACCGAGACGACTATACCATCAGAGCACAGCCAATTTCTCTAAATTCATCAGACTTCTACGTGGTCTCAAGTTTTATGAAGTTCTTCCCCATGCACTTAATGCAACTCTAACATATGTCTCAACAGATGGTCATTTTTGCCAACTCTTCTGTGCCATCAATTCAAATCAAGACTGGTTAATTTTTGAATATAAACTTTATTGTGATTTGGTTTACATTAAGGCAGTTTGGTGAAGGCACTGTGGAAGTTACATAGACCAGAAAATATCATAGAAAATGAGTGAAGTGAAAAAAATTACCAAATATATTTTTTAAAATGAATGCATATCAGGCTAGATTAACTACTACAGCTACATTGGTTTTTCATCATTACAGAAGCATTAAAATATTGCTAGAGGTGGTGTTTGAGATGGGAGTAGGGAGGGTTTCATGAAGGAGGTGGTATTTATGCTGAGCCCTGAAGGGTAAACTATTGATAGGTGAAGATGAAAGAACATTCTCTAATGACCGACTCTAGAGAAAATTTTGTAGAAGTACTAGAAAACAGAGGGCAAACAAACACCCCCGTGGGACCTTCAGTACCTATATTAGGAGGCGCAGGACAGGGGGCTTATTTGTAAACTTAGCAGCAGCAAGAGGTTTCACATTGCAGTCAGGGACCCCAAACTGGCTATACTATGCTTGATTGGATCTGCTCAGCTTTTCAGAGTGTGTGATACTTCACTTGCTCTCATTTTTGCCCACTGACCTGCCTGAATGGTAGTTTGTGCACTCCCGCATGCATATGTGTGAGTGTAGCTGTGTGTGGGTGGTGGGGGACTGAGGCTTTGTCTCCCACTGCAGCTTCTTGCACTATTCCCTCTTATGATGTACAGCTGGCTTCTGTTGAGCTCAAGCTCAGGCTCTTTTCACTGTGTAGGCCTCATTGAACCCCAGTTCTTGATTAAGCACCTAGGAAGCTTGCTCAACATGAATGTAAAACTTACTGTGGGGGGTGACTTGGATGAGGGCAGGACTATACTTTCCGGAGGTGGTGAGGATAGCTGTGGTGGTGAAGGTGGTGGTGGTGAGGGTGGTGGTGGTGGTAGTGATGGTGGTCGTGGTGGTGGTGGTCGTGGTGGTGATAGTAAGGGTGGGAACCTTAAAGTCAGCTTTTTTTTTGGCTGCTGGATAAAATGCTACTGGAAAGTCTGCAGGAGCTGGGTTGTCAGGCTAGACCGGCTTGGCCTCGATCATCCCTCCTCCTTCCTCAACATGTCCTACAGGAAAGACATATCAGACAACTGAAAACAACGAAGACACCTGTAAAGTGTCCAGGCTCTCATTACTGTCCTGCCTGAATCTCACCTCCGGAATCCCCAAAGATCTTTTCTTGGCAAATGTGTATATGATCTCTAGATAGGACTGTCACCTCCCCCTGCCCATCTGCTGGAGGTATATAGGTTATGTAGCTACTGCTGCTACTTGGATCAGGAGGTATGGGAAATTATCAGAAAGAGTAAAGTTATTGTGAATTTCTTTCAATAATTATAAATCTTGGCACCTGACATAAAATAAAAGGATGATAAATTCTGTCAGGATTCTCTGCAATTGAAGATCTAGAGCTCAGTGAGATCATCACTGGAAATAATCTGGAAGGTGATGAGGCCTTGCGAGACGCTGGCATTTGGACCACCCTTTTTACGCAGGTAGAGAGACTTCAGCTCACGGCAGTCACTGGGATCAGCATCCAGAGTAACCTGCCCCAAGAACTGGTCAAAGAATGTTTGTCTGTTCCAAACCTGTAGAAAGAAATCAAGGGGGTGAAAAGGAGCAACTTTCTGTGAAATGGACCCTTCCCCGAGACATCTAGAATTTGATGGTAAGACCTCAGTGGTCCATCCTCACCTACCAAAGCAAGAGTCTTCAGAAATGTATTCTTCCATCTCGTGAAATTTTACACTATGCATATTAACAAATGTACTTGTAGGCCTGTGGGCTTCTGCCTACTATAGAGTAAATCTACTACAGAGATTTAGGCTGGAGATGAATAAGCAAGTCAAGTGTCTGTGCTTGGTGGGAAACATTTTTTTAAATACAAGGGGGGGGAAGCCCATAATAACCTTTGTTCTGCAACTTAAACATCTGTGAGGTACTTGAGATAATCTAGTATCTGGTAGAGCATATGAGCCCTCCCAAGACCCATGGGCACATTTTTACCTGGACTATAATAGGAATGTCAGTAGTCCTTCTGTAGAAAATGGCCTGGGTGTCGAAAATGGCATTTACAGTATTCTTGTGAACAGGTGAACGAACTTCCTCCTTTCCACACTTAATGATCAAATACGGGTTTACAACTGGAACAAAGTGATAATTTTTAAACACGGTGGTTAATGTTCCTTTTCTGGGTAGGCAAGAAACTATCTTCTGAAGTCAAACTTGGGACTTTCAGCATAACACCTAAGCACTAGAATGACCTAGAATCTAACATTTTCATTTCTTCTTCCTTTTCTTTTTCTTTATGTCATATAGGAATATAAAAATACGCACTACATAGATCTTGCACAAAGAAGTTTATGTCCCGTTTTCTTTCATGATTGACATCTATTTTGACTTTTCTACACTAAAAGTACCATGGGAAAGAGTAATTTTTTATCATCTTTTCTAATCATCCATGTAATATATGAAACTGTTTCTTTTCCAGAAATCCCTCCAATTCTTACTTTCATTGTCATGTTTCTTCTCCAGGCCCTCAGCACTGTGAACTGTGATCTGGGTAACTACTTTGGGGTAGCCACGTGCCAAGTTCCAGCAGGACATCTTGGGCATGTCCATAGTCAGTTCCCTAGAACAGTAAAACCACATGTAATCTGATGATAAACATACTTTGATGTGAAAGGTTCATCAAAGCAGACATCTTTGCTGAAAACCACGACGCTCTGAGTGACTGAGCCTATTCCTCCTCAGATATGGCTTATATTTGTTCCATTTCACCATTTTTTAAGGACCAGCAAATAATGACAAGGCAAGGTTCTGGTAAAAAAGGTACTTTTCTTTTTTTATTTATTTATTTATGTGTGTGTGTGTGTGTGTGTGTGTGTGTGTGGCCAGCTCAGCCCGCCAGGGGGTGGGGCTGGCTGGCATGTGGTGCTGGGGGATTGAACCATGGTCCCTGTGCTTTTTTTGCTAAGCTTGTTCTAAGTAGGTGCCTCAGACCACTGAGCCATCTCACCAGCCCCAAAAAAGGTACTTTTCTGATTCAACATAAAGAACACAAAACAGAGACCAGCTCTTTAAGAAAAGACAGGGTCAGCCAGAGAATACAAGACAAAACATGAGTGAAGAGCTTAGGCTATAAGCCTGTTCTCCTTAAGTGACAGCTCAGAACTCTAAAACTCAGACCTACTCTAAGGAATTCCCAATAACCACACTTGAGAAAAACTATGTTGCAGCCACCATCATTTCAATTAATTAGGTCTGACTTGAGCAGTTCATCCCACTGAGTTTATATGTAGGGAGAAATGAGGCAAAGGTTTAAGAGGCAGGGAAGAAAACAGGAGATTGAAGAATACTGAACCTGAGCTGAACGGGCACTTCAGAGTAGATTCTCAGGAGAAATTCACTTGTGCGGCCATGTTGGAACATGGTAGGAACAAGCACATAATTTCCCTTCTTCAGGTACTTGCTCAGAAACACGGTCCGAGAGTCAATATAGGTGGAAGTCCCAGCGCGCTCCTGGATGTAGAGGTGGTGGAGGCGGAATTTGCGGTTTATCTCCACCTACAAATGAAAGAGATAAAATATTTCATTCTGTTCAATTCATAGTTTTTTGTGTTGAAGGGTCCTCCTTCTTCGGCCTTCTTTATTTCTGAGTCTTGCCTAACTCCATTTACTCTAACCCATCCTATTTTTGACTCTGTTTGCCTTCATTGTCTTTCTTCTAAATAGCAATTCTTACTTTGAAGAGCTCAAAGCCAATGATGTAATTGTCAGGTCTTCTCACTCTGCGGTAAGTGCGCGTTTCCTTCTGTTGCAGTGACATGATAACCTTGTGTCCATCCTCAGGCACAGTGAAGATGTACTAAAGGAAAACGGCCAACAAAGATCTGAGTTAGCACTCCCACTTCAGGTGATCCAGCTTAAACTTCAAGGAAGAAACTGCCTTGGATAAAGACAGGCAGCAGATAAGATAACTGAGATTTGACAATGTTGCCAAGCTATGTCTCTCCAGAAAGAGCTGGCTCTGACTGCTCTGAGCCAATCACTAGGGATTCTAGATGATGAGTATTCCACCATGTCTGTAAATGGAAGACTTGATGCTAAAGAAAAAATACTCCAGAGAGCATTCCAGGAGAAGCTTAGGTTCCTATTGGCTGAACTACCTTGGGGAAAAGGAAAATCATTTGACTCAAACCTGAGGATTCTGCAAGAAAGTATCACGGTTGTTATAGCAGCCTCCAGAACGGTTCATTAGAGGATCATCATCCACAGTCCAGCATCCCAGCACCGATTCCAGCTCCTTGTGGCCGAAAACAGGATTATTCACATTGCGACAGACATTCAATTTGTGAAAGTTGCGGCAAAAGTCTTCCAGGCTCATCCTGAGTGGAAAGAGTAGAGGAAAGAAATAAAGGTATTATTTCATACTTATCTCTTACATTTCCTGTTAAGAACCCCAAATCCCTTAATGTAGTAAACCTCTTCTCACCAAAACTCTGCATCATCACACATAACAAGTCCCAGGTTCTTGCGATCTTCTAAAGTCAGCTGCTGCCACTCTTCAGAACTAAAGGCAAATAAAGAACAAAAAAATAAGCCATAGTATTTACAATTGACTTCTTGTGGTGAACAGGCTGTCAAAATAACAGAATATATGAGATTAGGTCTGCTTTGTCTTACCTCTGACTTTGTTGCAGACCCCATGCCTGACAAGAGCTCACAGATGTCACTGAGCATTGAGTGCCCACTAGCAGTGTCGAGGGATGGGTTTGGGAGAACTACATAACTTTGGAGATGTAGCAATGAAGGCAGAATGTCACTCACATTTCACTCCAGGGGCCACTCCATTCCTGTCTTCCCATAGGATTCCTCAGGCGAACCATGTACAGCTTCTCAGCACTGAAGACTTCCACAAGTCTCTCTCCAAGACGAATCTTGCGAATATCAGTCATGGTGTAGGTATGACCCTTTAGTAGACCCCAATCAGTTTCAACTTCTTGTTCCTCCTGATTGGGAGCCTGAGAACAAAGAAAGATATGTAAGTGTACAGGAAGCAGGAGACCGAAATCCTGACTGTGCTTCTTCCTTGATCGGATTATCCCAGCCTGGTTGAAGCTAGTGCTCCCATAGAGACAGAATCTTTTTTCTTTTCTTTTCTTCTTTTCTCTTCTCTTTCCTTTCCTTTCTTTCTTTCTTTCTCTTTTTCTTTGGTACAAGGTCTCACTACACAGCTTGGACTCATAGTGATCCTCCTGTCTGAGCCTCCCCAGCACTGGGATTATAGGCACACCCACCATGCACAGTTTCAGGGGCCACACAGGGCAGTCAGGGTGGGGCCTGCATGCCGTGAAGTACTGGGGATCAAACCCAGGTCCTTGTACTTGCCTGGCAGGTGCTTAGACCGCAGAGCTATCTCCCCAGCCCCAGAGCCAGAAATTTGATCCTGAAAACTAACCCATCACAGAAACAATTGCAGGAGAGGAAATAAAAAATACAATATAGCAACTCACTTAAGCAACTCAGACTCAAACTACCCCCTGTAATACATTGATAGGAAATGTAATAATAGAATTTGGTTTCATAGATTCATTCCTTGAGCAACCACTGCATAACATCAACATCCAGGAGCTATGACAAGAGGAATAATTTACTACTGGTGATTTATACCATCTTGAATGCTACATTGGCCTTGTTCAAAAGGATAAAAAATTAAAGCCTCTCAGTGTCCTTGCCAGGATGTTAACATAGGTTAACATCTAAAGTTCCATTAATGGCATTTCATGCATCTCCAGGTTAAGGGCAGTGTTCCCTACTAAATTTTGCATCTTTTCTGCCAGAAGTAAGCACTGAGTGGTTATTTTGGTGACTACAAACCTCAATGGAGCAGCAGATCAGACCAGCTTTGGTGAATGTTTTGTACAGTTCTCCAAACAGCTTGTACTTCTCCTCAACAAGTTCAGTATATCTCCCCTTCTTCATGTCAACAGTTTCCGCCAATGTGCCCGTGAAGTCCACAATGATATCACTGGTGGTCAAACCATCTAGGGCCTCATAACAACCCAGAAGCCTGAGGGGAAGCATACAATATTATCTTTGTAAAATTATTTTTCAAGGCCAAGGACATCATGTTCCCAAAAATTAAAATAGTCCTTGCTTAGTCTTTCCCAGCTGTCCTTTCTCTAGATATTAAAAGTGAGATATTTTGAGATTATAGTCAGAGCTTTCTAAGCTTAAGTTGTATTGGTTAAGGCTAGCCCATGCAGACACTTATTTTCATAAGAAGATATTAGACAAGGAAAAAGAGGAGATGATAATTACATGTGATCTACAGATTAGAAACCTAGGAGACCTAGGAGAAGTGAAAATGACTGACTTCTCTCTTTATATCCTTTATGCCTTACATCTGACTGGGGTCCAATCTAATTTAACAACTGCACTTGAGTTAAGAAAGAATGAGTTCCCAAGAACAAATGTAATTTTCTTTTCCTTATGCACCCTGACCACAGAATAGCCAATCCCCCTTACTTTGCATATGCTTTTTCCAGTAAAGCATTCCAAAATTCATTCATGGAAGTGGAGAAGGAGAAGACCAGATCGCCATTGATGGTTGGCAGCAAGTCATCAATCACCACCTCTGTCCACTCTCCAAAATGCCAGAAACGAAAGCGAAATATTCCAGCATATTTATCTGCTTTTCGAGAATCCCATTCCTGTTCCCTGTGGTTGGGAATTGCCTGAACAGGTAAAATCATTTAATCACATGTTATTCAATAGACCATATTCATATATTGAGATTATAGCAAACTCCTTGAAAAACCATATAACAAAAGAAAAATACTAAATACACCTGATTTGGATAGAGGTTGAAAAGTCATAGGTAGGGCATTTTTTCCTACAGCTTCTGCTTCCCCGGTTCATTTTTTTTTCTTTTTCCCTGGTTCATTTTTGCTGAGGATGATATTGCCACATCTGCCCTGAATAGCACTGGGATAGCCAGTCAGGGGTTGAATATTTCCTACATATAACCCATAAACTAGATGATGAGAAAAGGACTACACAAATATATTCATGATTGCATAGCAAGGCATTTAGAAACATAAACAAGGCATTTAGAAAGGTAGAACCAATAAAAGTACAAGGCCTGGTGAAGTGTGTTAAAATTGTTCATTCTAGAAATTTTGTGTGAACAATACAGACTATAGATTTTATTCACACTTCAATGAATAAATTTTATTTAGGAAATTCTTTTCTATATTTATTGACATTAATATTCTAAAACTGTCCCAAATCACATTAGTATATTGTTGCCTTAAATTCTAGATAAATGTTAAGGAATTTTTGTACTACTATTTATTAGAACTTTTTCAAGGATCTGTTGCCATCATTTTCACTTTTCTGTTATGCATGTGTTGGTCATTTCCCGGCTCCTTAGTGGTTTTACACCTCAGCAGCTACACAGAATGGAGCACTAAGTTAAAGCACTGAAAATGACAATAAAAGATCCACTGACAAAGAAAATAGAGTAAATAAAATTATGGGGAAAAAAAGAAAATAGAGTAAAATGTTAATAGAATCAATGTTGGTATGTAGGTGATGGTTGTAAATTTCTCTTGGCTGTGGTTGTGCAATTTCTTATAATGAAATAGTGGCAAATCACTGGTTAATACCTGCAAATTCAAAAAATAGAACAGTCTAAGAAATTTATGAGCTCATTTTTCTCAAGGTTATTAAAGGAGACAAGAAGCTGAAAGCTGAAGAAAGTCCTGCAAAAGGGATAATACCTTTGTCCAGAGAGACTCATGAACAGCCAAACAGGAAAATGCAGGAATCATCGAACTGTGCCCCAGTCTGCCCTGGATCAGCTGGTGGTTGCTGATGTTGCCAACAATCAGACGGGGGTCATCGCAGATGTCCTACAGATACAATTATTGGTTATGTAAGAGTCTGAGAAGAGCTTCCAAAGAGTTATTGTGAACTGAGCTAAGCAGGACAGACCTCATAGGGGAAATGGGTTTAGCGTTGAAAGATAACTAACTACAGGAAAGGATCATGTGTGGAAATGGCTAGAGAATAGAAAAGAGATGTTGCAATAGTACAGTATGACATGTGTTGCTGGAAGAGCCCTTATCATTTGGGATAGGAAGACATTTACCACAGCAGTGAACTGAGAAAGAAAAGAAGCAAAGGTTAGAATATTTCATTCTGATCCTATTTTGTCAGCATGAATTTTCTAAAACATCTGTGCTTGGAAGGGTAATTGGATCTAAGTAAAAAAAAATTGGCTGGAGGTGAACATTAGTGTTTCCTTCTCTTTAGGGAAATTAATGAAAAAACTTTGTAGGAGCTCCTTTCTAACACAAAGCAAAGGCAACAGCAGTTTCAGTGGCAACTAGACCTTTCAGCCTTGTATGAATGTAGATGACTGAAGGATTAATAGCAGGTGTTAATAGACTGTGCCTAGGAGCATTTCAACACTCTGCCCATAGTGTATCTTCCAGAAGGACGTAGGCAAACAAGACAGCAGTATCTGTTTGAAGTGTATATCCATATGTCTCTATCTTAATATATGATTAGCTGTGCCATTTCCACTGTGAGTAGGAAAAATGTGACCCAAATTATATAATTATAACAAAATGTGATGAAGGAACAGTGAAACTGATTTCAAGTATAAGCAATGCCCATAGAGGAATGGTCACCAAAGTAGCTTTGGTCATATAATAAATATCACAGTGATGGTAAATATCCAGTTGACTACAGTTAGGCCAAAGCATCACAGGTAGACAGGTGTGGCTAATAGCATGAATACACCATATAACTGAAAATACGATTGTGTGACTCAGGGAATGAGAACTTGCAGATTTCAAAGGCAGGAAATACAAATAAAGTCTTGATAGATGAAGAAAGTTTTGTGGAGGAGGCCCTTGGCCAGTACCTTAACATTTTGCTTACCCAGCAGAAATAAATCCTAGTCTTAAATGGAAAGAAAATCTAAACATACACTCTTTTAATATTATTAAATAGAGACAGCTATATTTTTCTAGTCCTCAACTCTGTTTTAATGGACATAATTCTCCTTGATGAATGGTCTGGTCTACAGAATGAAACATTCCATATATTCTTTAAAAGCCAAAATAACTCTGGAAAGAAAAAGGCATTCTGGGCAGGGACAAGTTCAAACTGAAGATTAATTAGACAAACCTTGGCCAAAAGGAGATGGTTAAATGCATTGTCAGCTTTGAATTTCCTGGTCTATTTTTATTTAAGATGCATGTCTGATGTCACATCACGACTATCTTTCAAGACATTTTTTTAATTATAAAATGCCTGGCTTCTTTTTTCTTTTACTTACTGATCATAGAGTAAGTATGTTGGATCAGTCAGATCCTGATATTCCTTCCCTTCTCTTTGAGTTTTTGATTTTTATAAAATGAAATTAAGTATAGTTTTCCACCCTAGGTCATAACTTATCATTGTCTGGAGTATGATATAAAGTTATATAGCAATTTCTTTAATCTACATGATATATTCCATAGTTTCCTACCATGAAAATAATAAAGTAAATATTAATATGTGAAAATTATGCTTTTACATTCATAAGGCAAATTATTTTCTAGTTTAATGTAGTTACCATAGGTGGGAGTTACTTTACAGTGTCTTAATGTTTTACAAGGCTTGTTTCATACCAGGGTTCCAGGCTAATACTTTTTACATGTCAACTTCTACCTAATACATAAAAGGTCACATAAATAAGAAAAAGAAATATAAGCAGAGCTCAAATTGAAAGACTAAATGATTAGTCTCCCATGAGCCTGAATTAGATGTGTTTATCTTATATCATAAATATACACATTCTATCACGTATATGTAATGATCATTCTTTGTAAAACATATCTATTTAACAATTAATTTTAAAACATAATAAGATTCATAGAATGTCAACATCAGAAGAAATTTAGAGACTATCTGGTTAACCTCTTCATTTTACAGAGAGAATGTAGGCTTAGAGAAGAGAAATAACTTGCCACTCTGGTTATATATCTAGTCAGTAGGACATCTAGGGCTAAACTTATTGATTCTTCATACCTTTCAGATTCATAACTGAATCTCAAGATCTTATCCAGGTCATCTCTTTTCATTTTGGCTTACCAACGGCCCCCACATAAATGGCAATGTTGTGCAGCTTCCCAGGCTCAAAGGTGCTACTGACCCCTTCAGTTGTCCCTTTCAGTGTTGTATGCCTCTTTTATTAGCCCTCTATTTTTTGGAAGATGTTCTTAGCTTTTGGCTCCAACCTAAATATCACTAATAGGCACTGATTTTAGTTTAATCCACTGAATATGGATCAACCTTGTACATGTAAGCACTATGATAGGAAACAAATCCTTATTAAGCCATATCCTCTACAACTCAAACAAAGTAAGGCATTAAAAGACCAGATAAGCCACAAGAGTTAGAAATCATAAACATAATGAACCAACATAAATTCTAACAATTCATGGACATTTTGGTGATTACTGGGAAATACTGAAAAGGGTATTAATAGACTTTTGCTCTAGTTTTGGATGCCCTAGATATTCTGTTGGGTTAAGGAAGAAAGGTTGGAGAAATTTTTCTGTAACTCAAAGCTAAGACATAGAGTACAGATGGGACATTTCAGTCTGGTCTGTGCTGCAGTACTAGAGTGAGGCTGATGGCTAGGTCACAGCTCACATATCCACATTTGGGTGGCTTGGGAGTGTGTGTTGGGGAGGGGATACTGAGCCTCTAATGGCTCCCAGCTGTGTTGGCAGAGTTGAAGTGATCCGTGAACTGCACTGGTTTTCAAGGCAAAATAATTTCTTAGGGCAAAACACACACAACTAGGAAGCTGAACAGCATGAGTAAAACTGGAACAGCCTCCATATACCTGCTGACTTGAGCCAAAATCTTCTGTAAGCAAAGCAACTCCTCTAAGAAATATATTCTCTTAGCTAACCATCGAAAAACCTCTCAATTATCTTCACCTTTTCCCCTTCCCAGAGACCTTTGGAGGAGATGACAATCCTAAACAGCTTAGTCTACATAGTTCCCTTCACATCAACCACATCCAAATTTTCACCAGGTGAAGTTTTCTGACAATTAACTAAGATCCAGGACAAACCTCAGGAGCAATAGTAAAATGAAACTGCCCAGAAATCCAGCGTCTTAGAGTTTGAAGACACTTTCAGAAGTACTACATACAACCTAGCAGTAATAGGGAAATAAGAATAAGGCCATCCCTGTATCAGATACATTATAACTGCACCTAGGGTTTCAGTAGTTTGAGGAAGCTTAGGGGCTAATTTGCACACTGCCAATTGAGAACTGAGGGCAATGTGGGATGGTACAAGTAGTCATTTCTTATACCAAGAAAAGGTATTCATTTCCAAATATGTTTTCTGTGAACCTGAAGACCAATGTTGCATCAGTGCCTGAAGGTGTCTATCTTCTCTACTGGAATTTTAATTTCTGCTTGAGTATTTTGTCACCAACAAAGCATTCTCTTCCTAATCCTTCTAAGAAAAATTCAGTATGGAGCCTCAAAATAAGATCTTAAATTCAACTTCCACTTCCAGTTTTGACAACCAACTATATAATTGTTTAGTCACTGAAAAAATGTACATGGACATTTTCCTAGGGTGATGCAAATATTCTAAAGCTAAGTTCTAGTAATGTTTCTAATTTACAAAAAATAATTTTTCTATACACTTATAATGAGAATTTTATGGTTTATAATTGTACATTAAATTAAAAAGTTTTAAATGAAAAATTTAAAATAAATAAGACACAATATAGGCCTATTAAGTTCTCTTAGATTATGTAAACATTAGAAAACCTGTAGGACTGCATCTATGGAAGGACCTCATATCTGGGGGAAAAAGAAATGAATAGTCAGTGTCCAAACTCCTACATTGAATTGTTTCATTCAGCTAGTAGATGGAAGCCCATATTAGCACAAAAAGAAAAGTGTTTCTTTTTTATCATTTCTAAGTCTGTATATTCTGCTTCTGCTGGTTCGTGTCATCAACATTTCTCCTTATTTGCTATGAGCATGTTTTAATCCAGTGTCTTATCACCTGCCCTCAAACAGTGTAGTGAAATGATACTAAGGGAGGGTATTCCTCAAAGGAAAATTGGACAATGGCAATGGGAAGACGCTGAATTCAAAACTTGACCAGGAGATTTGACCGAAGATCTTATGCAGATGCCCCTCTCCCCTTCTAATGGCTGGCAGGAAACATTCCCACAAAGATTGTTCCATTCCAATCAGGGATTAGATGCATCGGATTCTGAGACACTATTGTAGGTAAATATGAATCAATCAGGAAAAAAGCCAGAGTGGCTGGAAAAAGCTGAAAGAGAAAGTGTGAGAAATTGCCTTAAGGAGCCTATATGCTATCTTCCAGTGACATTGCTAACAGTACAACAGACCTTACAATTTATAAAGACTTCACATATTAAGGCCTCACAAGAACAGAGAAGCCCAGGAGCACATGATCTGAGGCAATATACCTGTGTGACTTGAGAGCTGGAACAATAGCTGGGCTCACTGAAGCACTAGAAGAGCTAAGGAGAAAGATTTTTGTCTTGAGGTATTGACAGATGATTAACCACTGAACAACTGCTCACACAATCGCTGTCCATCTAAAGAGGCCCCTCGAAAGAGAGCAAGAAAGTAACATCTGAAAAGGAGGAGAACTTGCTCTTTCCAGATGAAGGTGTGCCAGGGGCTTCCTAGAGTCAAGCCCACTCCACTCAGTGTTGCTCCTGGATAGTCAGACATATGAAGGCTGCAGCTTTCAATAGGAGAGGAAAGAGACAGAAAATATCAGGTTGCTTATGCTTCTGTTTTGTAAACTTCAGAAACTTGCCGTGGATGAGGGTTATGCTATGGGTTGTGCCAAGGGACATATTCTCCTACAAACCAAGATCTCAACCTTTCACTGAAGTACAGGAAGGCAACAACCCATTTGGTCTTCCTGAGCCAACTCAGTGAGGCCCACTACTGTCTCCTAGCTTTGCTGATGAGAGGCCAGAGAACTTTGACGTGGTTTTTGACCACAGTCTTGGCCTCCATTCTAGCTGGAAAGGATTCCACAGTTTTGGAAGAGACTCAGATAGTGGTGCAGAATTTGCCTTTTCTCCTTCCCACGAAAGGCCCCTTACCCAAGCATTCCAATATATGAGAGTCTCCCCTTCTGTAAAAATACTAAGTGATTTACTGTATGAATGTCACATAATAGCATTTCATATATCCAACGTTTATTTATTATTTAACTTTTTCATAGCTCCATACCTATCTTCTTAACTAGAATGTGAAGGCCTCACTGCAGGCCACATCTGTCACTTGCACAGAGGCTACCATACAGCAGATTTATGGCAAACATTTCTCAAATGACTCTCCATGGGATCTCAATAAGACTATGATTAAGCTCACACAGTGCTCTCCAAGAGGAGAGTATAGACTAATGTAGAGAGGTACAACATTCACACAGTAAGGCAGAATGTAAGAACTAACAAGAACGAATCTACCTATTTTTGCTGAGAGAGGGAGGGAAAGAAGGAGAGAGAGAGAGAAACAGAGAGAGACAGAGAGAGAGAGACAAAGAGAGAGAGACAGACAAAGACAGACAGAGACAGAGACAGAGAGACAGAGACAGAGACAGAAAGACAGAGGTAAGACAAGAGACAAAGAGACAGAGACAGAGTGACAGAGACAGAAACAGAAACAAAAACCTAAACAACTGTATTTCTCTTTCATGACAACATAAAAGAACAAAAACTTACATGGGTTTCGGAGTAAAATCTAGATTCAATTTTTAGCTTGTTAGTAGTTTGACCCTGAGCAATTCCTTACCTTCTCTCAGAGACTCCTATTCATCAACAATAAAATGTGCATATCTACTGCTATATTTAAACCAGGACCAAAGAGTCACATTAAAATAATTTTAACCTACTTACCTTGCTAGGTGGTGATTATAAGGATGAAATGAAATAATGAAAAATGAAAATAAAAAGGAAGGAAACTGAAGACACAGTATCTGACCCACTGCAGCCCTGCCACTAATGTCAATTCCTTTTTCTACCCTTTCCTTTCACTCCCCTCCTTGCCTCACCCTAGAATGGGTATTGCTTAGCTCAGAGGTTAAATAGACTATGGTCTTTGTTATTAAGTTTTTTTCCACTCCTGTTAATCCATCGAGGTTTAAATCCACAGAATTTTGATAATAAAGGTAAAGAACAAAGGGCTGAGCTAAGAGAGGGGTTAAAGAGGGCCAGCACAGGAAGCACATTCTGCTTGGCTCACATGTGGAGAATGGCTTTACAATGACCTGCAGCGGTGTTGTTCACAAGATCTCCTCACACTTCCCCCAGGTTCTCCTTACTTCCTTCTCTTTCATCTTCAATCTCTTCTTGTCTCTTCTTTACTGTCTGGCCTTTACCCTACAAATGTGTTCAAGTCTGCCTGATTCCACAAAGACACTTGCCAGTAAACTTACGTCTCTCACCTTTTGATTCCCTGTTCCTTTTCAGCTACTTCTACCCTGCTGATGTCCTTTCTGTTATATTCAAGTATCATAATACGATGATACCCTTCACTATGACCATCCATTCATAAGAGTGGCTCCCAGACAAAAATCTCAACTTTCTCAATGTATTCTTAAAAGAAAAATGTCTTGCTTTGTGCATACCTGAATAATAGCTAACGAATTCTACTGTTTTCAGATTTTATTGTAGGCCAACAAAATGATCTGTAAAGATGTCAACAAGTGGGGACACAGAACTGAAGGAAAGAAGTTCTCTTAGTCTCACAATTTCTTTTCCATTTTCCTTCTCTATTCATTTATTTTTGTAGGGATCGAAGCCAGGGCTTTGCCCATGCTGAGATACTCTCTACCTGTGAGCTGCAGCGAAGTCCCCAGTCTCACACTCTCAATAGCTATCACTATTTGTGAAGGAATACTAAGATAGGTCCTTTGAGTGGCTCAGAAAATAAAACACTTAATGTAGTTCATGTATCTTGGCACCACCTGGTGGCAACTAGCACAAACTAAAGTAGCTCTTGGTGCACCTTTTAGGAGTTCAAAGTGTGGAAACTGCAAATAAAACCTGATAATTGCTGTAGAGCACCCCTGTAGTCCAGCTACTGAGGAAGCTGAGACAGGAGGATCACACATTCAAGGCCAGCCTGAGCAAGTTAACAAGCCTCTATCTGAAAATAAAAATAAGGTGGGGGAATGCACCTTCATGATCAATAACATCTAGGTTCAGTCTTTAGTACTACATGGCTTGTTAAATAAGGGAAGCACTGAGTTAGTGACTGAGGTGGTCCTGTTATAAGGCATAGAGTGGTAATTCATTAAATACTATCGATTGTCTTAGGAGTTTTGAGAAGCCTCAAGAACTTGCATTTATGCTTACTTTATAAGGAATTTTTCTCCTCAGTAGTGTGAGATTACTTTTAAATTGCTTAGTAACGTAGTAAAGAGACAAGAGTATGGCTTTTGAAATTACCATATTTACCTAAATGAATTTCCAAAATCAAATAAGAATCATATATCTCTTTTTCTGTTGTTGTTCTTCATTAAAATTATTAATCTGAAAAATTTGACTAAAATTCTGTTCTACTCAAGCTAAAGCCCAGAACACAGATCCATGAAACTTCCTTTTTGTAAAGTTATTTCTGTGTGAATTGATGGATACGTTAATTGGATTGATTGTGATAATCATTTCACTATGTCTATGTACACCAAAACATCATGTCTTACCTGATAAATATATTTAACTTTGAATTGTCAGTTACACTTCCATACAGCTAGAAAAAGAAATGGAGAAAATATGAGAGATAGAAACAGAGACAGGACAGAGACACAGAGAGAGACAGAGGCAGAGAAACAGAAAGAAAACAGAGGTAAACAGAAACAGGGAGAGGGTGACAAAGACAGAGACAGAGACATAAAGGAACACAAAGAAATAAAGATAGAGAGGTTTACTTCCAAATTGGCCTATGCAGTACTCCCACGTAATGGAATGGATCAAACACAGTTTTGATGAGGACGATCAAGGAGACAGAAAGGGAAAAACACTGAGAATATTACCTGGGGCCGTTTCCATATCACTTTGCCTGGAAGCAGTCGGTTGTAAAAAAGAGAATCATTCTCAGGCAGAAAGGTTGGATCACAGAAAAGCTGACCATCTTTGATGCATTCCTGTTTCAGTTCATAGTATTTCTGATTTTTGAAGAGCTTCAATGGAGGACTCATAATGCCAAACTACGCCTAGAATGAGAAAAAATGTTGATGTCTTTGGAAGAAGAGCTACTTAAATTTTGCGAGGATCACCTGAAATTACCCAAATGGCAGTCAACTCCATGATGCCTTCCCAGAGCTAGAAACTTCAAATTTATTTTGAAACGAAAAGAAAAGTAGGAAAGAAGGGACCAAGCCATACAGTTAATTGATAGAGTCCTTCACCTAACCATTTTCAGCCTTCGTTTTTTTTCTTCTGCCAAACAGAGCAACACGGAACTTAACAGTTTCATTGGTAAAATAGACAACAATATAAAGATAGGGAGTTAAGTGAGTCATTATAATTTAAAGGTAATATTTATATTAGTCAGGAATATAACAAGGCAGGGTACAATTTTAAATTTGAAGAGAAAGGGAAAAGACTTACTTTACTGCATAACAAATAGTTTGGTTTCTCAAAGAGTTGCACACTTTGTGCACAAGGAAAGGAGCAGCTTTTTTCATTTCTAAAGTCCTTTTACACACTTACATACTTTTTATCATTTAAAGTCATTTGCATGTTTTGCTATTGGCCAAAAAGGTTAATGCAAGGAACAGAGCTTAAGCAGTTCACTCACAAAGACCAGAAAGAAAGAAAGATTATATGGCTTTTTCTCTTCAAAGTCTAATGTACAATCATTTGCAGACTCTGAAATCAAAAGGCAGACCCCAAAATTCAATTACACTAATTTGGTGGACTATAGATTCTTATCTTATTGGAACATACTATTGATTTCTTTTCTCATAAAAATAAAGGAAAAAAGTTCACATGGCTAAACAGAGATCCTCACTCAAACTCTCTTAAATGTTTTGCAAGGAGAGAATTTGAAAGATAAATTTTATTTTGAATAGTATTAGGATGATAACAGGGTTTTCAGTGCCCTTATTGGAATCACAAAGATAGATATGTAATGATTTTAATGATCTTTTCTTGGCACACAATAACAAATGATGAGAGAGTTGTAAAGTCTTCATGATGTCCATGATTTAAGAAACAATTTAAAAATGATTTTTTTTCTCTTTTTGAGATAGGATCTCACTATGCAGTTCAGGCTAGCCTTGAGCTCGCTTTGTAGCCCAGGCTGGTCTCAAACTTGCAAGAATCCTCCTACCTCAACGTCCTGAGTGCTGAGATTACAGGCACGTGCCACCATACCCAGTCTCAATCACAATCTCAGCGGGATGGGGCCGGCATGACAGGCCCAGGATCGAAACCCCAGACCCAGCGCCTGCTTGCAGGTGCTTTAATCTGCAAAGCTATTTGGCTGGCCCTTGTATTCATTAAGAAATTTTAAAAAGTAAAAGAAAAAACTCAAGATTTAGAGTGTTAAAAAATGGACAAAATTTGCCAAAACAAGTAAACAAAAAAACTCAAGATCTCTCCATTAGCATATTTATTTATTTATTTATTTATTTATTTTTAAAGAGAATAAATATAATAAAAACTAGAAACAATACAGAGTTCCGTGGAGATAGCTGCACTGCATAAGTGCCTGCCTGGCAAGTGCAAGGTTCTGAGTTTGATACTTGGCCCCCCCAAAAAAGAAAACAAGAAAAAAGAAATGATACAGAATTTTACTAAATGTATTTGTTCAACCGATAAATGTTTTAAGTAGCAAATCAGAGACTGTATGGAAGTTTACCACTGATATATCCATTTGGCGTTTCAGGTTACATTCTGTTCCTTGGAGCCATATTGTATAGATATGATCTATGCCTTTTATTTTGTACCTAAAGAAATGGCAGCCAGGGAATCTGGAAGAGCTGACTCACATGCCTGTCTGTGTATTACCAGATTTGGTGAGAGGCTCCCCATCACACTATGCTGCTTCTTTTGGTCACTGCATTTTTTAAAAAAAGATTTGTTAGCTCAAATGAGATAACCGTCCAAAGCAAACATGATGCCCATAATCTGACAACCTGGAGAATCTGAACAATTTATATCCAGGGATTCACCGCTAACCCTCAGAAAACTTTTGGAAACCCAGAAATTTATAAGGGATTGTCAAAAATAATTTCTCTATGGAGGAGAGGAATGCTGTTGGAAGGTAATATTCCTTTACTGACTCACTGCATCTACTGGTGAAAAGGAAAGGAGAATCCTTAAGTTAAAGACCACATATTAGAGACAAAATAAAAGATAGGGCTTTGAGTACAACACAGAAAGCCTTTGGATAACAAGGGCAATGTAGACATTTGTGAAGAGCGACCCTGTAGCTTGAAGGGTAGTGGTATGTGTGTAACTAGATGAGGCAGAGTGTGGGGTTCAGCACTGATGTCATATTCTGAGGCAGCCTTACTTGATTTTGGACTGACTGCCTAGAGAAAAACATGTCTACCAGAGCAAGGAGAGGGTCCAACGCAGAGGGTGCAGATTTGGGAAATGCCAAGAGAATTTGAGGGAGCCTGCCACAAGGAATACACATATGTGGCTGAAAGAGAGAACATTCGCTTCTCACTAGCATTAAGAGGATGGGGGAGCTAGGCAAATTCTTTGAGCAAAAGTACTTGCTTATTTACCTGGAGGTCAGCTTAGAAACCAAATTTTGCTCTAAAAAAAATCTGGAATTGGAGGGCTGGGGAGATAGCTCAGCTACCAAAAAAAATCTGTTATTGGCAATGAGGTTAGTGGTTTACAAATGAATTTGGATTTGGATGAGTAGGAGAGAAAAAGAGGGCACTTAAGGGGGAGAAAGGGAGAGAACAAGCTTCCAGAGTAATGCCCCGGGCTAGTGTTTCCCTTTCCTCAGTGACTTTCACCCTTGATGTGTATTTCGGACAAAAATTAGAGGTACAGACAAGTACAATTTTGCATACAAATTAAGTATAGGAGTCCCAGCTCCGCCCTGGCATGAGTTAGGTGCCATTAGGTATACTCAAAATCCTTTATACCCACTGGAAGAGCTGTGCTGAGAGAAATGGGACTTGAACAGGAAGTAATGAAAATTCAACATATACGTGCTACAGAAAACGGTGGTTTCCACAGCTACACAGGCAGCATCATAGCTTCCATCTGCAGACAGGTGTCAACTAGGGAACTTAGACGCAGCAGTTAAGATTCAAACTGTTACCTGAAGGTCAGCTTTAGGGATCTGAAAAGGACCATGAAGGGCCTCTGATCTAGCCCACTGACTTGTCTAGTTGCCCCTACTCTGCCCAAAGAAGACTCTGTTCAAAGAAATTGAAAGTGAAAAAAGGAACACACAATTTCTTTTAGTCCACTCTTAAAATATTAAAAGCAAAAAAGAAAACAGCAATTCCAAAATCATTAAATGAGCACAGGTAGTTAAGAGTGCAGCTCAAACATCTCGGTCTCTCCATTTCACCATAAGCACAAAGGGAATGTGATGGCTGCCTTGCCCAGCTCAGGGTGTTATTGGGGAGGTCAGGGAAATTAAGCATGTGAGTATGCTTTATAATTGTTGAGGATAAATTCAACCTATTAGAAAACTCATTTTTAGCAAATTATATCTCTTTTCTATCCTTAACAAAAACTGAGGACATTTGATTACACACCTTAAAATAAGACACTCCCCGACATTTACAAGACCAATATGAAGTGGCCCCTCTGCCATTCTCTACTCTATTCCACCTCTCTTTCTTTGGCTGATTTACACTACAGTAAATTTACAGCACTTTGACAATCTACTTCTGGGTTTTATAGAATGGTGCACTGGAAGCTTTCAGGAAACCACTTAGTATAGCTGCTTTCTTTTAGTATAAGGCAAGGAACTTGCCCACGATCATATAGTGACAGAATCAGCATCAAAAGTGGGAGCCGGGCTGGGGAGATAGCCCTGCATCATAAAAGCCTGCCTAGCAAGCGAATGGTCCCCAGTTCAATCCCCCTGACTCCGCATGCTGTGTCCGCCTGGGAACCCCAGCATTAGGGCGGCTGAGACAGGAAGATCACTATGAGTCTGAACTGCATAGCATGACCCTGCATCCGAAAACAAAAACAAACTGGACCCACGGACTCTTTTCACCATGATCTTTTAAAAAAAAAAAAAAAAAGTGGTGGAAGGAAGCACCCAGGACTGGGGAGATAGTTCAGGGGCAGAAACACAGTTCGATCCCCAATACCACATGCAGTGTCAGCCCCAGAACCCAGAGTGCGCAGTGCTGGCCCTGAAACCAAGAAACCCGGCGTGGTAGCACACGCCTGTAATCCCAGCGCTGAGGAAGCTGACACAGAAGGATCACTCTGACTCCGAACTGCATAGCGACACCCTGTATCGAAAGAATGAAAACAAACCAACCAACCTGGGACCCACGGACTCTTTTCACCAAGATTCCCCCCTACCCTCCCCCCGCTCCCCCAAAAAAAAACTGGTGGAAGAAAGTACGCAGGGCTAAGGGAGATAGCTCAGCAGCATAAATGCCTGCCTGGCAAGCACTAGGTCCCCAGTTCGATCCCTGGTACCGCATGCCTTGTCAGCGCCAAAACCGGGAAACCGGGAAACCGGGAAACCTGGAAACCGGGAAACAAGGCGTGGTGGCGCAAGCCTGTAATCCCAAAGCTGAGAAAGCTAACACTGAAGAATGAGTCTGAACTGCACAGCGAGACCCTGTATCGAAAGAATGAAAAAAAAAAAAAAAAAGCCCTGGGACCCACGAACTCTTTTCACCACGACTTCCCGCTCCCCACCCCCCACTCCCACCCCCCCAAAAAAAAAACCAACTGGGGGAGGAAAGCATACAGGACTAGGGCGATAGCTCAGCAGCATAAATGCCCGCCTGGCAAGCACAAGTTTCCGAGTTCGATTCCTGGTACCACATGCAGTGTTGGCCCCAAAATTGGGAAACCGGTCGTGGTGGTGCACGCATGTAATCCCAGCACCGAGGAAGCTGACACAGAAGAATAACTGTGAATTCGAACTGCACAGGAAGACCTGTTTCGAAAGAGAAAAAAAAAAAAAAACCAGGGGCCCACAGACTCTTTTCAGCATGATTTTTCCCCCACAGGGGGAAAAAAAAAACTGGTGAAAGAAAG